CGACTCGTACTGACGCCTATATACACAGTAACAACTGTGAGGCTCCATATCCAGTCTCAATCAGTCATATTTGAACTGGGTCGCGTGTGTGTTCAGGCCGTCGCGAAGGGCACAAGGGCGTAGATTGCCCGCACCCGAAGAAATGCATTGCATGCGGTGGCGAAGGCCACGAGCGCAAAGACTGTCCGAACCCCGATCCTGCGCGGCTGGAGGCGTATGCTTCGGAAGTCAGGCCACCGACTTGTTTCCGCTGCGGTGAGGAGGGCCACAGGATCACGGAATGTACGCTGCCGCCTGCGTGCTACGGCTGTGGTCGAATGGTATAAGTTATCAGCAATCTGCCTCAGCTTTAGTGCTAATGTTTTTCAATTCCTCTTGCGTCTTATAGGGTCATCGACACGAAGATTGTCCTACGGATCCCTGCCCACCTTCTGCGCCCCGCCCGCCGAAGGGTGACTTCCTTGTATGGTGCGTCCGCTCGCTCTTCTCTCCTTGTCAGATCAACATATTGATGTGCACTTCACAGCAAAAATTGTGCGTCTCCACATCCTATTTTCCCAACCGGTATCGTTGACTGTTGTATGCAGGCCGTCGTGAAGGCCACAACGCGGGCCACTGCCCCAAACCGCTCCAGTGCCGCGCATGCGGCGGCGAAGGGCACTCGCAGAAGGACTGCCCGAATCCAGACCCCGCGCGACTCGAGGCGCTTCGCACGCCCAAACCGCCAATATGCTTCCGCTGTGGCGAGGAGGGCCACAGCATCACGGAGTGCGCGCAGCCGCGTCCGTGTTATGGGTGTGGGCAGCCGGTGTGTATCTCTCTCCCCCCGTCCCGTTCTACTTCCATTGTTATGCATTATCCATCTACCGCGCAGCGCTGACGGACGTTTTTTTCCCCTGCGTCCCGTAGGGCCACCAGCAGGAGGATTGCCCCACCGAATACCTGGCACTACGTGCTCGCCGTGCGTCCCAGGCGAAGGCGCAAGACGAGTCTCTAGTAGTCAAACACCCGGCGCCATTGAAGACGCAGGAGGACCACCACGAGGATCCGCCAGAGAACCCCGTCGCCCCCGTCGATCCTCGTCCGGCGTTTCTCATATGGTGCGCACCTTCTTTCTTCCCTCCCCGCCTAACACGCTCATCTTCGCATCACAGCAACAACTGTGCGTCTCTCAACCTTATACTCCCCTCCCTTCCCAAACATTCGCATTGACCTCGTTGTTTCATTGCACGTCTACAGGCCGCCGCGAAGGCCACAACGCAGGCAACTGCCCCAAACCACTTCTATGCCGCGCCTGCGGCGGCGAAGGCCACCGGCGCAAGGACTGCCCGAACCCCGACCCCGCGCGGGTCGCGCTGCTGACCGCGGGTCCGGGAAGAATTCCGACGTGCTTCCGCTGCGGACTGGAGGGGCATAGGATTACGGAGTGTGAGCAGCAGCCGGTGTGTTATGGGTGTGGGCAGCCGGTGTGTATATGCCTCTTCTATGCTCCTACCTTTTCTTTCCACATCTATCATACCGTCTCCGTGTTGCTGCTCTCGCTGACCAGTTCCTTTGCTCGCAGGGTCACCACCACAACGATTGTCCTATCAACCCCCCAGGACGTCCTGCGCCCCGGATACCCCGCGCCCCGAGGATAGGCACGGCGGCGGATCCCCTGGAACCGTTGGAACTGGACCGGATCCTCGCTAAACTTAATTCACGACCGCTAGAATGAGGTTAACGGATATTCAATATCTTACCCCGAGCATTCGCTCAGAGCTCAGGTATCCTTCAGGCTGCTAATTCGGTGGTATACGAGACGCAGACGCTGCTTCACATGTATACAAGGATCGTCCAACCCTGCTCGTCAATCCGAATCCTATCGCCAGCCCCTGGCCGTTGTCATTGTTTGTAGTTTTGACAAACTTCACACGAGTCCTCTGCGACGCGCTGACCTCGTCGTACCGTGAGGGACCTTTGTTGCAGCTCAAATGTGTTGATGTTGGTGTCAACGAGACTCAGTCGTTGGTGGTAAAAAATTGTACTCCATGGTCGGCGACGAGGGTATAGAACACGACCAGATGGCGCGTGGGTGCATCCACAACGCCTAGGCAGACGTCGAAGCGACACATATTTCCGTGGAAGGTGCCTGTTCGACTGAGGCCCGGGTCATATGAGAGAAAGACTTCCTTTTGCTCAGCCCAGCTCAGGTTTTCATACTTATTTCTTCTCTGCTTGACTTGATAGGTCGTATCCGCAACAATCCAGAACAATACGGTGAATTTCAAACTCTCACTCGCAGAATATCCAGGAAGGGTAACGGACATCGGCTACACGAGCTCCTGTTGCCCTTGCTTTCTCCCCAACATAACAGGAGTGATACTGAAATAAGAGCCAGATTCATTCCACCTCAACAAAGCTCGTCGTGCTCGATTCTCTAGGTGAGCCCAAGCTAATTCAATTTATTAGCGGCTTACTTATGTTGACTCGGTAGCGGGTGGTCCGCATCCACAGTGTATATGTTTAAAGATAAGACGTTTCATGTGGAGGTCGCCTGTTTCATTCGTCCTATTCTTTCCAACAGCGTCATCCCACTTTCAAAAATGCTGTATCTACCCGCGCCCGTAATGATCGCCCAGGCTTGACGAACGTGCAACCTTCTGCTTCTTTTAGATTCTTACCGACAGCCTCGGTTCTGTATTCCCCCGAGGCGTCCCATAGGCTGAAAGAGTTTAGTCTCTAGATCTCAAGTGTCCTGGGCGTTTGCCTTTCTCCGGTTCTCCAATTCGAATCTCCACAAGTTCAGCTATCATCGAAGAACGACTCGGTAGCGCGTGGGCGCATCCACGATGTATATCGGGGAAGAGCAACTGAAACATGTTTTTGCGAAGGGTGCCTGTTCAACTCAGGCCCGAGTCATACATGGACGATACCTCATTTTTCCTACCTGATATTCTCATAATTCCTGCTCGGCTGAGTGTGATCGATACACGACAACGCGTCGTTTTCGGAACCTAAGAATCACAGGTGAGTTTCGAATTTTTTGGGTTCCTTTGGCCACGTATATCCACCAAGTAGGAGGATATCGACTCGGTAACGCGCGGGTGCGTCCACGGTAAGTATCTTGGTATGCATCATAGCTTCTGTGGAAGACGGCTGTTTGAGTCAGGCCCGAGTCATAGGGAGGCGCGCTGAGCTTTTTTGCTTGTCCATCTTGCTTCCTATCTAAACCAAGCGCTCCTTACCACAGACGAATTCATCAATCGTGGACCTGAGAATCGAGATGCGGATAAGTCAACTGGGACCCATATGTTCAATATTGATTGCCTGTGGTGTCAAGCTCATTCATTTTGCCAGCTCTGGTATGCATGTCTCTCCGGACTACGATTCGATTTAACGGCGGGCCGAATGAGGGCGGTTACAGGGCGACCGCGAGATATCTGGTCATTAGCTCGCGCCGGTGATGCTACATATTCCATCTACTCTCAGCCTGGCACCGCGCAACTCAACCCATCCATCTCGCCGGACGAGGGCGGATGCCCGCATCCAGTGCAACAACGACATCACCAATTGGCCTACTTACTTGACGCGTAGGTCGCGCAGACTACGCACAACATCGTCCATCCCACGCGCGCCACTCCACTCGCCGCTCCAGCCCACCTGCTTCCGATACGTGCCCGTATAGCCGTCTTCATCCTCCTCCTCTGGGCGCAGATGCAAATTCGAACTTGGCGCAGGCGGTGATGGCGAGCGAGTTGATTTCTCCTCAGCGTGGGATACCTCTTTCAGCACCACCACCTCGACACCCGGCGAGGACGACCGGGAGGCGCCGCTCCACCAGCTCTTGTTCTTCCGATGCCGACTCGCACCGTCGCTATTCGGAGATATCGGCGAGCGGGATGATGCGCGGGTGGAGGCAGGGGATTTCGAACGTTGGGAGTCGTGATCAAAGCCAGAGCGCACGGGTATGGACGGCTGCACGCGTAGGGATGGTGGAGCTTGTTTGGTTTGGCGAATTTCCCGGGACCGCGGTTTCGTGGGCATGGCAGGTTGTACTGGCGGAGGAAGGCGTGCCTCATAGTAGCCGACGTGCGAGAGGCGCGCCTCGTAGTCGGCGTACGAGAGCAGGCTCTTGGAGCGCGGTGCGGGCGAACTTGGCGCGGGCGGGTGTCTTGTGTGTGGTTAGACCGACCGCGCGGGGAGGGCGGGACGTCCTGGCCGTCCGCGAATGAACCGTTCCATTTGGGCGACGCCTTGACGTAGTGGGGGCGGGGGACCGGTGGATATGAGGATTGGGCAGTGGTGGGCTCTCCCCAAGCGGCGGGATTAGGGATTGCGTGGGAGGAGGAAGGTGTACGCGAGCGCGCGGTGCGATCATCGGGTCTTAGCCTTCGGGGCGGCTGTTGCTGCTGATGGGCAGGTGCAAGTGCAGCGAGCATGTTTGGGACAATTCCGGGACTCGGGATGGCCGTTTCGGACCTGGAGTTTGCCCTGTAGGAAGAGCTTGTGTAGCTGCTCTGCTGGGATGGGGTGGTCGGTCGCGACGAGGAAGACGACGACGAGTAACGGGGTGTGAAGTCTGCAGAGCGTTTGCTCCGCTTGGAGGTGAACGACTCGGTGCCCATAGAATAGATTAAGCAATCCCCTACGCCCTGCGAGTGGTGGTGAATACAGAAAACGCGTCCAGCGTGCTGGAGGAGGGAACAGAACGAGTGCTGAAGGTGGGTTGAAGGTGGGTGGAGCAGGAAGGAAAATTATAATACAGCCGCGTATCTGAAATCGCTTCCAAGACGCTTCCCCAGGTTGATCGTGAGAGAATGATATCGGCGACGGAACCCGTTGTGGCACTGTGAGTCAACTGTGAGTTAGGCGGCGCAGCTCTGCCCCAGATAACTCAATGGCACCAGGATTTGACCAGGATCAAGACCAGGATACTTGATGGACCTTCAGACTCCAGGGACGCAACGTTCACTGGAGGAAGGAATTGAAGAGAAAAAATGTTTGAAGTGCATGACCCATAACTCGGGCCTGAATCGAACAGGCGACTCCCACATGAAGGGTGAATGCAATCGCACACACAAGGTGGACGCGGACCCTCCGCTACCGAGTCGCAGTGTAGGTACATAGGGCTGATGAGATGAATGATCGACGAGTTGCAACTTGCAACCGTAATGATTGAACAGGCTCCAAAATTCAGATCGGCGCAGTTTTCCGAACAGCGAGGAATTGAATATTTTAACAGCATGCATGCTCATCCATTCATTTCATCTGGGACTCACACCGACTCGGCGGGTTTGACTCCAGCTTACGTGTCTCAGGGCCCATAAACCCATCTCCAAAGGCATCCACAGTCCTCAAGTCTGTCCCGGGAACCCGGAACATACATGCTGCTCTTGCCCAACGCCGACGCCGGGGCCCGTGCTGTCAGTGACTGCCACAAACTCGTACCCGGTCGCCTCAATCAGCTCTCTTGTATTAACCTTCGCCTGGCCTTCCTATCTTATGGTGTCCGTCTGCCATCGGTTTCGCGCGCCGAGCTTGCACTCCGTACGATGCGATGCGCGCGTACTCCCGGATGGCATGCATGTCGCACACTCGCGAAGCCAAGCCATAACCTCCCGCGCTTCTCACCTTACTTGTTCATTTGCTCAGCGGGGCTGGTTAACGCGTCGACTCAGTTGCGGAGGGTCCGCATCCACCGCATATGGGACCTTGGCAAACCAACATCATGTGGAGCACGCCTGTTCGACTCAGGCCCGAGTCATGCATCGTCTCCCACATATTCTCTTTTTTCTTTCCGCGACTTATGCAGCCCGTCTGGGAATATGGCTTCCGAAGACGACGATGGGGAGAGTTCGCTTTCACGTCCGTATTTGCTCAATTCTTCCCGTGGCTAGCTCATCGTGGGATAGAAGTAGGGTGGGTCCGCATCCACGACAAATGAGAGAATAGTACATCGTTGCTGAATACTCACGTGGAGCTCGTCTGTTCGATTCAGACCCCCGAGTCATGGGACATCAGGCACTTTTTTCCCCCGCCTATTCGGCATCTCCAAGGTCTGCCAAAAATCCAAGTTGCATATTCATGGTCAACTCTCCCATGTGTTCTACTGTGTCGAAGGTATGTGAATTTAGTCGTGTCATACGCGGTGATATGTTTTTATGCAGGTCGACTCGGAGGCCTCCGGGTTGTAAATTGTCGCCTTCAGACTCGCCTTCGGGCTATTTAATTCTCTGACCTTCGCTCATCGTATCAACGGGCTCATGGCTGTATACATATCGACTCGGGGGCGGAGGGTCCTCAACCACGGCATATGATCAGATTCTGATCTTCGAACCATTACGTGGAACTCGCCTGTTCGATTCAGGACCCAGTCATGTATCTACTGTAGCAAGTTGTATGAGTGAAACGCAACGCGTAACGCCAGGTCCGTTTCGTTTCAGTTTTCCAGGTCAGTAACGCGTAACGGGAGCCTGGTTTCACGGAAATTTTGCGTTACGCGCACCCAAATTCGCAAAATCACCAAGAAAACACTGAAAAATGTTGAAAAAAATCGGTTTCGTTTCAACTGTAGCGCATGACGCACGCGTCGTTTCACGTTTCAACCAGGTCGTTTCAGTAACGCCCCCGAACTTGTTTCACTCATACAACTTGCTACAGTATACGTCCGATCTTTTTCAGATTCCCCTTTCTGTCCACGACTTTCTCATATCGGCTGATTTTTTCTGCAGGATTTTGATTCCAGGACGAGGATGCGGTACGTCCAAGGTGATGTCACGTTCTCGCTCAGGCCCAAGCTCAGACGTCAGCGAGTCTGTTCTTCTCTGGCGTCTGTCCCCCAGAACCCCAACCTTCATCTCCCTCTATCTTATCCGGACGAGGATCCCCTCAGGCAAAAAGTCAAACCCAGGTTTGCTGTTATCTAGTGTGTTTGAATACCTTCGTAGCATGCACGCTCATCCATTCACTTTATCAGATGCTCACATCGACTCGGCAGCGGAGGGTCCGCGTCCGCAGCAAATAAGAAGTACATACATACAAGTACTGTGGAGCTCGCCTGTCGACTCAGGCCCGGTTCGTGGAGGCTCGTTCACTCAAGTTCATCCTATCAGAAGTGGTATCAGAAGTGGTATCCCTCCTCATACCGACTCGGTGGCGGATGGTCCGTATCCAGAATAGATGCACCAATGCTTGAAATCTTTACGCGGAAGTTGCCTGTTCGACTCAGGCCCGAGTCCCTATGGGGCATAATCCGTCTGCATTTTTCCCCTGCCTATTCTGCGGCGCGTCTGCAAGGTTCAAGATCTGACGCCAGAACCTGCTTGTCGCGCTCAAAACGCACTCACATGCCCACTCGGTGGCGGAGAACGTTTGGTTGTGTGTTGGCTACACAATGCTTGATTGGGGCCACAAAAAGAACATGGTTAGCTAATTACCTTTCATGACCCAGGCCTGATTCGAACAGGCAACTTCCGCATGACAGTTCAACATTACAGGCCCTCCGGACCCTCCGCCATCGAGTCGATGCGTGTGTGTATACATATATGGCTGATGAGGTGAGTGAATGATGAATGAGCTGAAACCGTAATTATTGGACACACGGGTGGATTTGCGTGCAGTTCCGAGCTGCGCAGGCCACAGACATACGTCCGCATTCAAATTTCCGAACGTGAGGAGTCGTGCACCACTGAGCCGTGTTGTCTAATATCGAAATATTGATGTCTGTGAAGGAATTCGAGTCACACACGAACAATGAGAGACTGCACCTACCTGTATCCGAGAATGTTTGTCGCTGCAAAAATACTTGTCACCGCGAAATATGGATTGGCAGAGTCTGATGGAGGATGGAGGATGATGTGCTCACCAGGGGAAAAAGATCTTATGGCCAGAGACCGCAAGACTCGGGCCTGGATCGAACAGGCTCCTTCAGAGTTTGAACATCCTCAACGCCACAGAGCCAGCATATGCGTTAGTTGGGACGAGATATGTAGTGCGTCTGAAAACGCTGGAGACTTGGCCAATGTTGGTGTGGGCGAAGCCAGGTGAATTGGGGGAGGAAGGTACCTCGCGAGCCACTGCAGAGGCTAACGGAAGCGATACAACCGAGGTTCAGCAGATATAAAAGGCGTATGTACGTACGGCAGGACGGCCTCGTCGTGGAGGAGAACGAGTGACGAGATTGCGAGAGTTTGAGCCAAGTTTTAGCCGGAGGGCTGATTGAGTCGACTGTCGGCGGCGGCGGCGGGCACGAGTCGAAGACAGAGACGTGTCCAGCGGTCGAAAAACGCATTCCGTTTTGAGGCTTGGAATGGTTCATGGCAAGCAGGGACAGTGGAAGATGGCGGAGGCAAAGCGGAAGAAAGCGGAGGACAAGCGTCAATACGGTAACGTCATCGCGCCGCCGTGATTGACGCCATCTGATCTGTCTCTTCGGAGTCTTCCGGATCTCTTCTCTCTCTTCCATCTCTTGCGCATCTCAGAGCCCATAACCCCGTCTTTAAAGACATCCACGGTCTTCCATACATGCTGCTGTTCTCCAACGCGGACACTGTAACCTCGCGTAGCATCTCTAATACCCTGCGGTGCATCCGTGACCGTCTCACCAGCTGTATGTACCCGTCAATGCGTCACAGGGTCCTTCCCCGCTGTCCGTCCTCCTGATTTGCACGCCAAGCTTACGCTCCGTACAATGCGACGCGTTTATGCTCCCGGATGGCATCGTGGTGCACTTGCACTTTATCTATTCGACTTCGTTCATCTCTTCAGTGGGGCTGGAAACAGATACACGTCGACTCGGTCGCGGAGGGTCCGCATCCACGGCATATTCGATCTTATTATCGACTGCAATATCATGTGGACCTCGCTTGTTCGACTCAGGCTCGAGTCATTGCACTCATAGCATTTTCCTCTTTTCCTCCGCATTCCCTTTTTCTCCGAAGACTTATGCAGACCGGCTGGCAATAGGCTGGCTTTCAAGACGAGGATGGGGGTAGTCCAAATTCGTTCGTATCTCCTCAATTTTACCTATGGCTAGCTAGCTCATCCTGGCAGTTATGGGCGTGATATCTGCCGTTCTCATTTATCCCATCGCCGAGGTATGCATGCACATACCGACTCGGTGGCGGTGGGTCCGCATCCACGACGAATGGGTGAATTATACATCCTCTCTGAATACTCACGTGGAGCTCGTCTGTTCGATCCAGACCCGAGTCATGCTGCAATGCACGGATGCCATGTTTTTGTCCCGTCATTCAGCGGTGCGCCTCCGGTCAGGAATCAGAGTTGTCATGTTTCAATCCTCTGTATCTTCCACTATCCCGAGGGTATGTGAATTTAGTCGTTTCACCCCTTGTATGGTATGTTTATGCAGGGCGAATCGGTGGCCTCCGGGTGGTAAATTGTCGGGTTTAAATTTCGCCTCCATGTCATTGAATTCTCGACCCTTTGTTCATCTTATCAATGGGCTGCATGGCTGTATACATACCGACTCGGTAGCGGAAGGTCCGCGTCCACGACATATGGCTAGCTTTTCGAACCGTTATGTGGAACTCGCCTGTTCGATTCGAGACCGAGTCCTTGCAAGTTCACGTCTCGTTTTTTCTTGTCCCCCTTCTTCCCCCACTTTTTGCGTGCCGCTTATATTTCCCCAGGACACAATTCCAGGGTAAGGGTGCGGTACGTCCGAGGTGTTGTCGCGTTCCGGCTCAGGTCCGAGGCACTCAGACTTCGGCGAATCTTTCTTTCCCTGGTGTCTGTCTCCAACAACCTCAACCGTGATATCCAGACGGGGACGATATTTCTTCAATGTTCCACGCAAAATTTAAACCCAGATTTGCTTCTATCCCCGCTGTCGAACATCATGCTAGCACGCACGCACGTTCATCCATTTATTTCTTCAGCAGCTCGGCGGCGGAGGGTACGCGTTCACAGCAAATACCTAATCCACTGAATAACCGAAAATACTGTGGAGCTCGCCCGTTCGACTCAGGCCCGAGTCACTCAATCGTCGGTATGGTGTTTTTTTCGGGCGCGTTTCTCGAGATCTGAGAGACCCGTAGTACGTTCGATGATTGAGTTCGTTCCAAGCGAATTTAGCCTACGGGCCATCGA